CCGGCTTTCCCTTCGAGTCACACTGTTTTGATGCAAATGAGACAATAGTGGGACAAATTGGTTTTATCTGGCCAAGATGGAAGTTGTTTTAGTTTCATCGCAGTGGTTTCTCGTTTATCATCCCAGTGCAGAGACGGCGGTACTAAATTTTGCATAAGGGGCGAGATCTGCTCGCCAACCTTGCGCCGAAAACGCGACCTCACTAGGGGGTCCAGGGTCATGCTTAAAAATGTTGAAATCTAGACTTTCTGAAACGCTATCTCCTCTGTGTGTGTGGGTTTTTTTTTTGGGGGGGGGGCAAATTTTGATGTCTGACAAAAGGTTTCAGCTTGATTTTCTAGCTCCTTCCCCCATTTTTTTTGAGGGGTGACCGGATTTGTGTGTCTGTGTAAATATTCACATACTTTATGCATGATGTAAATTTTGTTATTCGCATTTTCCCGATTCTTGTGCATTATGCTGTCATCATACTACAGTCATTTTTCATAAAATCTTTCAACCTTCCCTCCTGTATCAAATGAGGAGCCCCTGATGCCATGACTCTACCCTGTACACAGGACTGTGCGTCATGGTTTGGGGTCATTCCTAATGATCACCGGCGTACAACACCTCAAACTTTTGCTGCAGTTTATGCAGCTCTCTTGGTCGTGGTATACGTTGCGGGTGACCAGAGAGCTGCAGTTCCCTTCCCTAAAGAAATGCACAGATTTTTAAATATGCCAGTTATGTATCATTAAAATTGTGATTGTAATAAAATTACCTCGACTTGTAGGAAAAAATAGACAAATATGTTCTCAGAAATATATCTGTTACTGATTACAGCAAGCTTTAAGCAAATTTGCTCGTGTAAATGAGACTATTTCACGTTAAAACTGTGCCGAAGTGAAACCTCCGATTGAACGCCGCCATTTTGAAGCCGACCTCTATCACGTGACTTGGCTCTTTTAGTGACGAGTGTAATCACGTGACTACAGCAGACGGCCATCGGCGCCTGTCTGGGACAGCGCTTCATGTGACGTAACAACGGCAGACGGCTTTTTATAATTTTAATTTCATTTCACCATTAAGACTCATCTTTTTTTGAAAAAAAATCAAATAAAGTACATGTATTATTAAAATATTTTTTTCAAGCAGTTTATTTATATATTGTGAAAAATCTAAAAAT